CCAAAGAGAGAAAAAGAAATGGATAAAAAGCAAACGCACAGCACACTGATTCACGAGCAGAAATGTGCACCCATAACTTTCTTCTGGAGACTCGTGCCAAGGACGAGTCCTATAAAACCGCTGAAGGCCAACTTCAGAGCATACCTTTCTCGGCCTTTTGGCTAAGATCAAGTGTAGTATCTGTTCTGATCAGTTTAATATCTGATCCGTGGTCCATCGGACCACACGATATTAAATTAATTTTTCTGGGCCACGGAGGGGTCGTACGGGTAAGCTTGCTTACCCGACCCTTTCAGTGTTACCTCTGTATTGCACTGCAGCAGAGTGCGGCGCAGCCCTTTCCCCTTCCACGGGGAACAAAATAAAAACCAAGAAGCATATGTACGCTAATTCACCGAGGTAAAACAACTGTAACTTCGAGTCGAGGAATCAATCAAAACCTGTGAATGAAGAAAAAAAAAAACCAGAGGTGTGATAATATTACCATCTTATGGCGAACAAAGGGTAGATTTCGGTACAGAAAACCCGTAGATGTTTTTTTTTTATGATGGAGGAAGCAGCCTCAAAATGAACGTATTTGAAGCTCGTTTCGGGCCGGATATAGTCAAAATCTGGATGCGTTGTATTCGGGGGAGTGGATGAGAGCAAGAACGAGTCCCTCGTTTGATCTCTCACGGTCACCTGGGGTGACTCCCAAAATCCCCCATTGCAGGACATGAGCAAAGCAACCTTGCTCTTTGAAAGGATGACGGCATTGAGATATGGACATCTGTTTTTTTTTTTTTTTTTTTTTTTCCAACAACCCCTGCCACTGCTAGTGGTGCTGATACGAGCAGTCACGACTAGCACCCAGGGGAGGGCTCCATCTATTGGTGGGGAGCAGAGAGAGAGATCATACTGAGCAGCCCAAGTTATACTCTGAATTGTATAGCGTCGACTGGAGTCGGCTCTGTTTTTCAACAGTTCACGGGTGTACGAAAAAGCGTTTGCGCTTCTTGCCGGTTGGTCGCTGCGGTACGGATTCGTGGAATTGGAAATTTGGGCCCATTTCGCATGGGACGGAATCGCTTTGACGACCTTTTTGGACCGAAGATTGATTCACTGTCTCTGTCCTTATATCGCTCATCAAAATTTTGTTTTCAAAAGAAAAAAAAAGAAAAAAAAGAAAAAAAGAAACTGAGATAGGCCACAGTTGGTCCCATACCCCTTCCTCCTGATTTTCACTACCCCTTCCTCCTGATTTCCACTAACCCCTCTCCCCCCAACCTCCCTTTGGCTTCTCAACCCCCACAGTTGACAAGCACTCACCAGCTGACCTTGGGGCCTCGAACCCTCCCATCCTCGCTGTCTCCTTATGCCGTTGGAGCTCCATCTAGGTTTCATAGCGGCCATCCTTGGAAGGGACTACCGGGGTTCCTGAAATCTTCCCCCCCCCCGAAAAAAATAAAAAGGAAACCTCGCAAAACGTGGTCTCGAAAAAAAGAAGGAAAAACAAAAGGAGGAAAAATAAAATAAAATGGAGAGCTGTCAAACTGTGGCCTGGGAATGGCGGAGCACAAGATGGAGATAGAATTAAGGGCTTTCACTGAGGGGAAAGTGAGTGAGGGTCATCCCACTCATCTTTGTGCTCGTTGATTCCTATCACGGCATGAAGGTTAGGAACTTAGGACCTCCCACAGCTTGGCATGCACAGACGGGGACCGGAAACGGCAATACTTAAGTGTGTGAGATGGTGAGCGAAAGAGTACTAGGGGTGTCTGCTCTTATCAGCACCCCTAGCAACCTTCTCAGGCTGTTAAAAAAAAAAAAAAAAAAAAAAGATGGTGAGCGACTGAGCGTGTAGTGGGCGTGTACCTATGTGGTGGCTACGTGGGGTTAGCGGAGAGTGAACTTTCTTTTTTTTTTTGAACTACCTGGCTAATATGTGGTTAGTAAGCGTCCTCCTCTTTTTTAAAAAGGGCAACAGCCTTAAACCACCAGTACTTGGCCCAGCTATCGGCCGCCGAAAAAAATGGAGTAGAAACGTTTCTAGTCGGATGAATTTGGGCGCTCCTGTAGTAGCCCGTACGTTTCCTAAAATCGTGGCGCGTTAACGGGCACTACAGTAACTCTAGGAAGTACGGAAAATGAGCGGCCCTGAGTAATTGCCGTGTTCATCTGGTTGGAGCTGAACTTGGAACTCAGGTCTGTACTTCAACAGCTTATAGGTGGCCACTTGGAAGAGAGACGGACTTAGGATTTATGTAATATACTTGTGAATTGAAATATGAGACGGAGTTCCGTGCTAGAAACTGAAAAGGCCATAGGTCTGAGAAAATAATGAGCTGAATGGATGTATAGATGGGACGCTGGACCCGATTTCCAGCAGGTTTCCAGCAGGTTTCCAGCAGGTTTCCAGCAGGTGTCGGTCCGCACTCATAGACGGAGCAGCCCGACAAGCAAACAGGGGGGTTACAGACACCTGGCATTGACCTTGGACTAAGAAACTAAAGGGGGGGATAGAAAAAAAAATAAAAAATAAAAAAATAAAAAAAATAAAAGGGGGGGGATAGAACGAGAAGACATAGCTGGCAATTTCCAGGTGGGGACTGGGTCAGTAGGAAGTAGGAGCGCTAAAAGTAGGAAGGGTGACGGCCTTGCGATATCAACATCGTACTGAGCAGCCCAAGTTATACTCTGAATTGTATAGCGTCGACTGGAGTCTGCTCTGTTTTGCAGCCCCAAGGGAAAGACAGTGCTCCAGGCTAGGAACTGACAAGGCCACAGTCCCAACAAACTCTGTGCTGAGATGATGTATCTAAGGGATGGCTGGACCCGTTTTCCAGCACGTGACGCTCCCCATCAATAGATGGGGCAGCCTGACAGGCAAAGCCTCTTTTTTTTTTTTTTTTTTTTTTTTTTTTTTTTTTTTTTTTTCCCTTTTTTTTTTTTTTTGTTTCCCCTTACTATCTGTAAGGGAAATAGCGGGTCTGGCGTCACTCTTCCGCCAGGCCCGACTGCCACTCTTGGGAACGAGTCGGGGACACCAGGGATGGGCCCGGCAGACACCCGGGGCGTCGTTTTTTTTTTTCCCTCTTTTGCGTCGCGCGTGGTGTGGTCGGATCCGTGCTCCAGAAGTTTCTCGCGCCCAGCGCCACGACGTGGGGAGATACACCCGTCGTTCGTATGAGACTGAATTCCGCTCCGGAACATGGGGAGATACACAGGTTCCCTTTTGTTCGTTGGTTTCGTTTCTTTTTTTTTTTGTCTTTTTGCCAATTTCCTGTTGTTCGCTTCTTTCCTTTTCTTTCTTTTTTCTGTCGTTCTGCGGGTTTGCTTTTGTCCCGCCCGTTGTTTTCGTTTTGGCCTGAGGGCCTCGCTGCACTGCTCTCCAAATGTGCAAATGAGACTGAATCCACTGCTAGAACACGGAGAAATACATTGCCATCTTTTTTGTCTTTTGCGCACGTGGAGAGTACCAAGCGTTTTTCCTTTTTTTTGTCCTTTTGCGGGCCCTCCATCGGGGAGGTTCGTTTAGCATGGCTCCTTCGCAAGGATCACATTTGCAAATCGAGGGGGACGTCGCACAGCTGCGAGTTCACGCACAGCACCTGCGGCGCGCGTGTTGCTTTTCCGTGTCCGACAAAGGCGGTGGGGAGGAACGGGATGAGCGGGAGGGGGGGGAGGGGAGGGGAGGGGAGCAGCAGGGAGGCACCGCAGAGGGAGCAATGGGCGAAGAGTAGGTCTGCCGTGGGCGTGGCCGTGGTGACCATACTCAAAGAGTTGATTTCCACGGGGCTGCCTTGCATGCCGTGGGCGCAGCTTTTTTTTTTTTTTTTTTTTTTCTGTTCCCCTGCTCTTAGTCCCCGCCGCAGTCGCGGCGGGCATCCTCCTTGTTTTTTTTTAATGGGAACAAAGCTCCATTCTATTCGTGAGGAGCAACACGTGCTGGGAACCGGGCCCAGCGTCCCATATAGAAAATTACATAGGATTTTGAAAAAGTTCGGAGAATTTGCAGTACCTTCTTTTTTTTTTTTTTTTTTTTTTTAGCCTGACAGGCAAAGCCTCAATTCCGGCCGTTCTCTAACTTCTCTTACCACCACCGGGATAGAGGCCTTGCACAAGGGATTTCTTTTTTTTTTTAAAGAAAAAAAAACAGTAGAATACTAGAATGTATTTAAACGTTCCAACGGCTTACCGGGGCGAAATTCCTTGGACTTCAGTCCAGAGTTTTGTCTTCAGATTCCAGACCAAGATTTACAAGGCCTCACTCTCAAAGAATTTATGGAAAGATGCGTGCACTTTTTTTTCCTTGTCTTTCATCATCTTTCCAATTCTTTCAATTCAGCTTCGCGACCTACCTACCACTACTCCTAAGGCTTATACTGAGGACCCCTGCGAACATATCTTTATTTTGTCTCCCTCCAGCCATCAGAGGGCATGCGCCTGCTGCGCACTTAGTGCCAACCAGCAGTGATAGTCCGCTTGATCCCTCTGAGGCTGTGATCGGTATATTAGCAGGGTCCTTGTCCAACATGGTTGTAACTTGTAAGTGTGAATCAGCACCACTAACACTGACGGGGGCGCGTTCAAAACAAAAAAAAAAAAGTGTGAGTGTGAGTGGGTTTTGTGTGGTGTGTGGGAGAGTGTAGGCCTTAGACACTGCTGTTTTTTTCGGTTGGGGGTGGGGAACTACGAAAAGGGAGGCGCAGTTGCTACTGGCAAAACATGCTCGGTCTTTGCATTAGCCAGACCCCCACCAGCGGCTCCACCCCATCCTTGAGTCCTCGACCGCCATGGTTGGGGCGGGGGGCAGCATGCATGGATGCGTGCACTTTAGACAAGACTGGCATCCAATAATTAAAAAACTCATTTTAATGAACCTCCCTCCTGGTGGTAGTGGTGTCTGCTCTTTATCAGCAACAATAACACTGGCCAAAAAAAAAAAAAAAAAAAAAAAAGATTTTATACATCCGACCTTTTCTTGTTGTTGTAGGCCAAACGCATGGCGCGTTACGTACCCATGAAAATCACGATGATGCCTGTCTGCACCCCATGCAAGCAGTTCTCTGACACACTCCACAGAACCTCCCCGTGCAGCACAGTGTAGAGGCAAACTTCCCTGTCTGCATGCAAATCATCAGCCAGCGCACGATGCATGCATCAATCATGCTTCCCTCACTCGTCACAACCATCCATCGACTGGCATGACCATATCATTCACGCATCCCTCATTCGTCGTAAACACGTATTCATTGTCGTCAAATTGTCGTCAATTAACACATATTCGTTGTCCTCAATCAACACATATTCATTGTCGTCAGTCATAGCCATCCATTGAAACACACACATTCGTCGAAAATCGCTTGTTCATTAGTAAAAGTAAGATTTCACCTCTTGTGAAAAAAAAGGAAAAATTTGTCTGGTGCCCCCGTAATTTACATTATTTTTCGTCGCGCCCCTCCGACCGCTCGCTTACCCTGTCGTGCCCTCTGACCACGATTCAAATTTCCCATAAAACCCCGGCGTCGGCTGGGCCTGAAATATTTTGGTTATGCCCCTACCAGTTTCCGTTCCAAATTTGCAGTATGCCCCTACCAGATAGCCGTTGAGTGCCAGCACCAAAATGTTCCATATGCCCCTACCGGTAGGGTGCACTGCGCATGGCGGCCACTTCATTTCTCTCTCTCTCTCTCTCTCTCTCTCTCTCTCTCTCTCTCTCTCTCTCTCTCTCTCTCTCTCTCTCTCTCTCTC